AAAAAAAAAAAAAAAAAAAAAAAAAGCAAGGGAAAATTCCCTTTTAATGTGCATTGCAAGCACATTTTTGTAAACAACGGTCTTGCAAATTATTCGCTGACTTGTGACATGAGATATTGTTCACTCAGCGGGAGGCGGGAATAGTTTACACTGATTATTAAATATTTTACTGCGACTTAAATTAAATTTCTTAATGAAGCAAAACCTTTCCTACTACTTTTACGTATATAGTTTACTTACCATGTCGACTGTATGTTCATAATTACAGTCAAAACCGCTCATGGCTTATCTTAGGATTTATTATTAGTTTCAGATTATTTCAACAATCCTAGGGGGTTAAGCATGAGCTGTTTTGACTCTGCCGTAGAAAGACAGAAAATTGATTCAAAGTATAATTTAAATTCTGAAGTTTTAGAAAAAATCTTAAAACTTTTATTTAGCATGATACAGTGAAACGGATTGCTGAAAATTATAAATGTCTGTCTTGAATTGAATATGGTATAATCTGATTTCCGGGAACGATTTGCATATCAAGGGAAAGTCCCGTATCAAATGTATGGGAAAGTCCCATCAAATCGTTATAGCAAATCGTTCCCGGAAATCAGGAAATCAGAAACCAGAAATCATCATCCCGAATATTCAGTTATTTTGTTGATGGTTGTATTGGAGGTAAGTTCACTGAATATTCGGATAGAAGTTGGATATGGGCCCTTCTTTTTTCTTACCTCGTCAAGAAACGTATCGTTTATGTAGACACAGCACTAGAATGAAAATTAAAACAGCTAAATAACTGTATCGGGGTTTTTTGTTTTCATCTCAGAATCAATTTGACCCGACCATTATGTAATGAACATTTAAAAGCTTGGAAAATATGGAGAAAAATCATATACAGATTTTTGTGAAAGGACTCGATGATCGAACTCTAACATTCATGATCCACAAGGTATGTATGCCTAGCTATCATGAGGCATGAATATTATGATATAAGTCAGCTCTTTCCCACATGCCTTAGCTAATTAAAAGCCCTTTCACTTTCACTTTCACTTTCACTATCGCTTTTTTTTAAAACGACTATCTATTCAACAAGGATATAAACACAGCGACAAATAAAAAAAACCGTTAATAAAATCTTTTGCATTACTCTAGATATTTTCAATATAACGAAGAAAAAGAAAATAGAAAAAAAAAAAAAAAAGAAAGAAAGAAAAAAAAAGAGATAGCATAGCATTAAAGGCTGTCTAGGATTTTTATATTAGCTTTTATAATCAGTGTACTGATTTTATTCTATTCTTGCTTTTTACCTACGTCATCATGAATTTCAAAACCGTAAATTTGCTTTATAATAAAATAAAAGCTTCATAACCTTGTAAAGCCGTCAAAACTACACATTCCGGCCAAATTTTGTGGCTGTAAGGCTTTTTGTTGTTGATTTACAGGCGAGTAAACATGACGCAATTTTTGGTTAAAATGTGTGGAGCGGCCATCTTGGTGTTCCAAGTTGGTACACCATCATGGCGGACGAAATTTCAAAGGCTTAAGATGATTGAATATTTAATAATATTGACTATATTTCATTTAAATAAACCTTAAATAGATATTTAAAACGTGTCTAAGCGAAAATCTTTCGACTAGAGTAATTGTTTTGACTATCTTGACCGTTATTTAGATAGACGTGACGGTATTGCGTGACACAAACTCAACCTTCATAACTTGGGAACCAAACATCGAAATGACTCGAGATTTTTTCTTGTGACTTATAACACTGTTTATAAAACATACTTGAGAAATGCCTTTAATCCATCAATAGTTTAGATTTTGATGTTTTGATCACGTCATTAGAAAACCGGCAATATCACTATTTATATTTAAAACTAGTCTAATTGAAGGTTAATGAGTACTGCCGTATATTTGCTTGTGTTATGAGATGTTCGCTTATGATGTCATTTGCTGTGTTGGCAATGGAAATTTTCCTTTGTGGGGGAAACAACAAACGCTAGACTCCTCAGGCGTTATTTCAGCTAAAAGATCTTATGAACTCGATCGAGCGAAGTTTTATTAGAACAGTTGTATTTACTAAGTGACTTCTTAAGAAAATAATC